CATTGTACATAGTGTAGGACAACAGGGAGTGGTCCATTGTACATAGTGTAGGACAACAGGGAGTGATCCATTGTACATAGTGTAGGACAACAGGGAGTGATCCATTGTACATAGTGTAGGACAACAGGGAGTGATCCATTGTACATAGTGTAGGACAACAGGGACAGTGATCCATTGTACATAGTGTAGGACAACAGGGAGTGATCCATTGTACATAGTGTAGGACAACAGGGAGTGATCCATTGTACATAGTGTAGGACAACAGGGAGTGATCCATTGTACATAGTGTAGGACAACAGGGAGTGATCCATTGTACATAGTGTAGGACAACAGGGAGTGATCCATTGTACATAGTGTAGGGACAACAGGGAGTGATCCATTGTACATAGTGTAGGACAACAGGGAGTGATCCATTGTACATAGTGTAGGACAACAGGGAGTGATCCATTGTACACTGTGTAGGGCAACAGGCAGTGATCCATTGTACATAGTGTAGGACAACAGGGAGTGGTTCATTGTATATGCACGTATCACGTGACCTATCTTCATCCCCACTTCCAGTAGTGTTACCTGTCATATCAACACGACATCACGATTGTCATTTGCTATCGCTATTCATAGTCGAAAAAACACTGTCGTATTGAGTATGTTTCGGACATTATCATAATCAGTAAGGTGTACATAGAAACGTCACTGTTAACAAGTACAATTAATTCGCATATCTAAGGTACATTTTGGCCACCTGTTCCCCGAGAATCTATCATTTTATATATGTGAACCGTGAAAGAATTTAATAATAAAAATTGTATATTCTGTTTTATACTGAGTTTAGTCAACCAGACCATGGAGATACTATGTTTGCTTTTGTTAAATTTCACTTTAATTCCATTTCGACCAGCGACTGATTTATATTTCGAGTCATAAAAATATCTAACAGAGTACATCCTACATGTTATCTATCATAGATGAGGCTGCGTGTGAAGTGACCCTACAAACACAGTGACTGATAACACCTATATTACACGGCTTGTATCAGTGATACTAATAATACCGAAGCTGTTATCGACTGCCTGTTGACCCTGATCACGACCAACAAACCAACAGTGCACACTAGTGTTTGCCATTGTTCGGGTTAGTGAAATCAGAGTGAGTGGGTGAGTGAGTTTAGTTTTATGCCGCACTCAGCAATATTCCAGCTATATGGCGGCGGTCTGTAACTAATCGAGTCTGGACCAGACAATCCAGTGATCAACATCATGAACATCGATCTGCGCAATTGGGAACCGATGACATTTATCAACCAAGTCAGCGAGTCTGACCTCCCGATCACGTTAGTCGCCTCTTACGGCAAGCATGGGTTACTGAAGATCAATATTCTAATCCGGACCTTCACGGGTTTGTGGAGTCGGAGAGTGAGTGAGTATTGCTGTACACCGCACTCAGCAATATAACTGCTAAAACCACGAATGCGTGTATGTCACTGAATCTGAACTCGGCAAATCAGTGGTTGATATCAAGAGCAATGATACGATGATATGCCGTTAAGAAAGTCTTCGTATCCGTCATGTCGCCTCCTACTACGAGTATAGACTATTGGGAACCAGTTCTATCTGAGTATATCCCGACAGTCTGTAAGTAATGACGTACATGCTGGGCAAACCAGTGACTGACAGCATGAGCACCTGCCTACGCCACTGGACAATATGGCGAGACCATCAGCCACACATTGTAAGCATCCGATCTTGGCCGGATACGATATATCGTTTTTCAATAAATAGAAGCGATAAACTCATTCCACATCCAGAAGAAATCTTTGCTAAAAGAAGAGTCGTTTCAGACTGCATCGTGTATGTGTTTATGAAATACGGTTCGATCACAGTTACAACATTTAGGCCTAAACATGTATAGGAACATTTAAGAATTTGGTGCATCAGTGACAAAAACTGATGTCCGATGCAGTTCTCTATTTTGGCATTCCCGATCTTTCCAGGGCCCTTATTCTCGAAACGTTCGTAGCCCTAAGAATTCTTAACGTTGATCGTAGCCAATGTGTTACGAATGGTCTTAAGAAGTTCGTAGGGCTACGAACATTTCGAGAATAGAGGCCCTGGTGAACAATTGACTAGTCTTTGCTTGTATTTATGTCAATTACTGGATTGTCCGTTCCAGATTTGCCTGATTAATAGTCCGACGCCATACACATGTAATTTTGAGGCGTGTGGCGTTACACATACAAACATGTGCTCTTAGAATAGTCGGAATTGCACGATCGGTTGTTTAAAGTGATTTATCGCTTTTAATTACACCACAGCATGTCATCATGTCATATGATCATGTATAGAAAGCACATATGACGACACCTGTCATAGTCGACCAAAGTATACGGATAGGGACAGTGATGTACGATAACCTGAACTCTCTGAGGACTCTCGACCTACCCTGTTACGTCACACCGAACCCTGCCCTGCCCTGACCTAGTGGCAACTTATCCCTCTGACCAATTTATACATTTTCAGATGCATGGTATATTTACACTTGCTTCCTATATCATATTCTGTGCCTTTAAGGTATATGTAAATATGCTGCGCAGTATCCCTGTCATATCGGAACAGGGCTAGCACAATAACAGATTCCACACTTTGCAGGCAGGGGTAGAATCGCTTTGGGGCCCACGAGCATGTCGGAATTTTTACAGATGTGTCTAATTGATAATTTATGTAGAAATAGTTACTGTTTTTTATCTTTACTAAATACATGATCACAATAAATGCATAACCTCTCTGAGAATGTTGTGAAGGAATATCTTCCAGTCTCTATGGCGATGGAACCTTTACCAATGACCGCCAGGACACAATTTCCCACAAATATATTGGTTGTTAAACTAAGCCAACCTTGAAGTGCCATCTTGAACATATTCTATTATTTTGCCGTGATATGTCCCCAATGTGTTAAACCCATTACAAAGAATTGGTAGAATATTGACATCAACTAGCTTAAAGAGTTCAGTGAGTGAGTTTAGTTTTACGCCGCACTCAGCAATATTCCAGCTATATGGTGGCGGTCTGTAAAAAATCAATTCTGGACAAGACAATCCAGTGATCAACAGCATGAGCATCGATCTGCGTAATTGGGAACCGATGACATGTATCAACCAAGTCAGCGAGCCTGACCACCCGATCCCGTTAGTCGCCTCTTCCGACAATCATGGGTTACTGATCAATTCTAACCCGGATCTTCATGGGTAAGAGTTCAGTAGTAGAGACTAGAGATCGTATTGCAGAGGCCTGTAAAATAACACAAGTAACACTTGTTATTTTCTTAAACCATTTTTGCATATTTCGGAGTCAGAATGTCTTAAGACCATTAACTTTATAGCCTATTTGAAGACTTAACCATTCAGTCTAGTATTTCTACAGATTAAATCCAAGACTTCCAATCTTTAGTAACTGAAGAGCTGTGTATCCACCATGCATTTGCAAACATCAAGGCGCACTACTTGCCTTTGGTTTAGAAAATCCGGAAAATAAAATAAGAGCGACATAGGCGTATGGAAATGACACAGGCAGAAAGATAATACTTTTTGGCATTATCGTGTTGAAACTGGAACAACATGTGGCCATGTACATTTATAGAATATTGCTATCACAAACTGTGCAGCAATAGAGGACTATCGTTTCATATTTGTTTGTAATAATAAAACACTTGAAAATGGCATGGTTAGGACTGGTTAAACGCTGAAATATACTAGTTATAATGTAAAAGCTTCTAATAAGAATATATTCAAAATGTATATTCAGGACTTCCCACAACCGGAGCTAAACGAGTGAGTGAGTGAGTTTAGTTTTACGCCGCCTTTAGTAATATTCCAGCAATATCACGGCGGGAGACACCAGAAATGGGCTTCACACATTGTACTCATGTGGGGAATCGAACCCGGGTCTCCGGCGTAACGATCGAACGCTTTAACCACTAGGCTACCCCACCGCCCCGGAGCTAAACGAATGAGAGCTAAGGTTTTGACATTCTTCACAAGGATGAGTTTAACAAGAACGTCTGTGTCGTTGTTGTCAACCTCTAATAAATTATCACGAATGATTTTTAAAAACAATGTATTTTAAACACACGATCCTTACCTCCTTACCGTAAATATTTTAATGATTTCAAAATAAGTGTCAAAAAGAACAAATCCTATTACTCAGTCACACGAAGCCCACTGATAAAACAACTGATATAAACTCCCGGGCCAAATTGGAACCTACCTAACATATCTAAACCTTGTTGGACTACAAACAGACGTCGAAACATTGCCAACTTAAGGTCCAAAATACATCTGTTATATCCGTGTCAAGTACTTCATCATCAATGTTTCTTTCGTGTAAAGCCTCCATAAAAAATGGGTGTATACTTTCTTTCGGTCGTCAGTTTATGTTTCTTTAATAAGGAACTTCCTATGGGTTAAATGGATCTTATCAATACCTCGTTCTTTTGGGATTTTGCTTTATTCCGGTAGTATCCATATCATAACAGTCCACTTTCACATTTTCTGACTTGATGAAGGGCGGTGGTGTAGCCTAGTGGTTAAAGCGTTCGCTCGTCACGCTGAAGATCCTGGTTCGATTCCCCACATGGATTCAATGTGTAAAGCCCATTTCTGGTGTCCCCCGCTGTGATATTGCTGGAATATTGCTAAAAGCGGCGTAAAACCATACTCACTCACTTCTCTGAATTGATGAACAGAAGAATAACATTAGACTGCGCCTGTCGGGTACAAACCACGTTGTCCTCTAACTGACAAATGGCCAGGGTTGTTGGAGTCACTCCTGACCATGCTGTGCTCATGCTGATGAAGCTCTGTATCAGGTTGACCCAACTCGTGATTGTTTGCTAGAGCAGTTCAAAGTTTTCCCGTTGCGACATACTAGGTAAAGCCTATCTCCCCAGTCTCGCCCATGAGCGTCATGAAGGACCCTCTGTGTCAGGATTAATCACAACGCCTATCTTATCAAGGAGCAGATATAAAAGTGGTTTACTTTCATCGCATCATCCTTTTACACCTCAGCTGTGCCCAGTTGACAGTCGCAGAAGGTAGGGGAGTAACTCAGTATTTCATAAAGCTTTGACTATTGTGCTTGACACTTTGACTATCATACATGGAAGTTTGAGTATTGTGCCTGAAAATGTGACTGTCGTGAATGAGTCTTTAAATATTGCCACGAAATCTTTTAGATAGTACATAGACTTTGAAGATCGGTCATGAATTTTTGACTATCGTACATGGAACTCTGAACTCTGAGCATCGTATTTGGAAGCTTGGAATTGTACATGAAGCTTTGACAATTGTACATGAAGCTTTGACAGTTGTACCTGAATATTTGACAATTGTACTCGAATCTTTGACAATTATACTTTACACTTTGACTCTTGTGCATGAAGCTTTAATATCTTACATCAATCAATACGACAATACAACGAAGTATTGTGAGATATTTATAATGAAACATTGAACAATGAGTAGTGAGGATTGGCGTGTCTTGCTCGTATTCGAGTAACGAAGACATGCTGACATACGACACGGGTTCCTATACTGTATGACCGTTGTACCCGGACAGTGTGCAATCTGGTCCAGGGCCCCGTTTTACAAAGCTCTCGTAGCGCTAAGACTATCGTAAGTCAATGTTACAGAATAGGAAGTACGAATGCTACGAGAAAAGTTACGAGATCTTAGGCTTACGAGAGCTTTGTGAAACTGGGCCCAGGTTTGACCAAAGGACAGTGCGTCATATCCGTCAGTTCGTTATACACGGCTTGCTATAAACGTAGTCAACTGTATGTCCATATCGCTGGATATGTGGCTGTCTTTACAAGGTCGGTGTAGTTGTTATCAGGTGGGCTCCTCCACAACGTTTGACATCTTGCTGTATCTTGTACTACTGATGTCGTAGGTACTATCTAACAGTCTTGTGATCCGTCATGTGATAGCGTCTCGTTCGTTGATTGGACATATTGTGTAACAGCTGTGTGTAGGAAACCAGCGAGAAGTAGTTTGACTCCATTTGTGACAACGTTCCGATTAGGAATAAATGCCTTCAACAAACCATAGACCAATACAGAAACCTAATAGTCTGCCACATACCCACTTGGTCCTTCCAATCTGTCAGTGCCATGGCTTTGATGTTTGTGGAGAAAATCGCCTGTCTAGAGTTTGACCCACAGTCGACAATCGAACCCAAGGACATTGAGACATGAACTAAGTTTCATGCAGGTCGTTCCGCCACTTCAATAATATTGAATAGTCAGCTGAGGATTATAATTCTACTTGAAGGCAATACACTGCGCAGGTCAAAATACAGGTGAAATTACGAGTTGTTCTGGGTCCAGGGCCCTGTTCCTCAAAGCGATCGTAGCACAACGACAGTCGTAAGTCTATGTTAAAGTATGGGAGGTACGATCATCTTAGCGCTACGATCGCTTTGAGGAAACGGGCCCCTGGTCGGCATTTTGACTACTGGGAGTTTCTTGGGCTTCTGTCCTGACCATCACTGAAGCCCTTATTGCAGTCTCCTTAGGGAAGTGACTTCCTTCGAAATAAACCTCTGTTCACTTAGCAGTCAATGGGTACCCGATTGGAAAAGACGGTTACTGCATGTTTGTATGATTCACGGGGAGCTGAGAATGAAAATCCAATTAACACTGATCCTTAAACCTGGGTAATGATAATGAGCAATAACATGTGTCAAATTTGGCGCATTATGTATGAACTTCAAGCCACAAATATGAGGACTAATTATTTTCCGAAGTATTATTGGGAGTAATTTTTTAAAACTACATTAACACACACATACGCACGCATGCACACACTTCGATTTTAAGAATGATATGCTGCAATATTTTTTGTTCCTAGACGTTTTGTTCTTGTCAACAGATCCCAGACACAACAGCCACAATGAAGTTCCTCTGCGCATATCTGGCCCTGGTCTTGCTGGCCTTTGCTATTGTAGGTGAGTAATGTAGCCAGGCAGATGCAGATTGGGACATACAAACGTTTTGTGCCGCTGCGTTGAATGTATGGGTAAGGCAAGTAGAATCTGGACACACGACACATAATCCAAAACACGAGCGCACAAGTTAGTCATACCATATACACAGTAAGAACTCACACAGTATCCACTATAGTCATCACACCCTGCACAGGTAAATCGTTCATTTGGTTCAGTTTTGCGGCGACAGATTACTAAGACATGGGAACACACACGGTTGCTTATCACACGTTACACGCATGAGTAAGTCACACAATACACCAGTATAAAATACCTTAGTTAGTCACACATTACACATATTGGTGAGTCACACATTATACATATTGGTAAGTCACACATTACACACATATTGGTAAGTCACACACACATTACACATTGGTGGTAAGTCACACATTACACATATTGGTAAGTCACACATTACACACATTTGGTACACATATTGGTAAGTCACATTACACATATTGGTAAGTCACACATTACACACATATTGGTAAGTCAAGTCACACATTACACATATTGGTAAGTCACACATTACACATATTGGTAAGTCACACATTACACATACATATTGGTAAGTCACACATTACACATATTGGTAAGTCACACATTACACATATTGGTAAGTCACACATTACACATATTGGTAAGTCACACATTACACATATTGGTACATCACACATTATTTGGTAAGTCACACATTAAGTCACACATACACATATTGGTAAGTCACACATATTGGTAAGTCACACATTACACATATTGGTAAGTCACATTACACATATTGGTAAGTCACACATTTGGTAAGTCACATATTACACATATTGGTAAGTCACACATTACACATATTGGTAAGTCACACATTACACATATTGGTAAGTCACACATTACACATATTGGTAAGTCACACATTACACATATTGGTAAGTCACACATTACACATATTGGTAAGTCACACATTATACATATTGGTAAGTCACACATTACACATATTGGTAAGTCACACATTACACATATTGGTAAGTCACACATTACACATATTGGTAAGTCACACATTACACATATTGGTAAGTCACACATTACACATATTGGTAAGTCACATTATTACACATATATTGGTAACACATTACACATATTGGTAACACACATTACACATATTGGTAAGTCACACATTACACATATTGGTAAGTCACACATTACACATATTGGTAAGTCACACATATTTGGTAAGTCACATACACATTTGGTAAGTCACACATTACACATTACACATATTGGTAAGTCACACACACACACATTGGTAAGTCACACACATATTGGTAAGTCACACATTACACATATTGGTAAGTCACACATTACACATATTGGTAAGTCAAACATTACACATATTGGTAAGTCACACATTACACATATTGGTAAGTCACACACTACACATATTGGTAACTCACACTTTACACACACGAATAAGTGACACATTACAAACATGTGTAAATCACAGTTTAAACACATGGGTAAGTTATACATTAAACACATGGGTAAGTTATACATTAAACACATTGGTAAATGAAAGTTTAAGCACATCCACAGTTACGCATTTCAGATATGGGTACATCGCAGTTTAAGCACATACACCGTCACACATTACACACAGGGATAAGTCACACTTTACACACATAAGTTAGTGACACACTGCACACAGGTAGTTCTTACTTCACACACAAGGGCAAGCCAAAAAGTTCAAAACTGGAATATATAAGATATTTTGTAGTGCGTAAAAAATGGAAAATACCCGTGATTGTTTAGGCGTGATTATGGTTGAATTGTAGTAAATCGTTCAGCTGGTCCTGGCGCGAGATTTACAGTTGTGTAGTCGCAACCTGATTTTAAAGGAGATTTCTTATGGGTATATCCATTTACTTGTAGAAAAGCATATTACGTAAATGAAGGAAAGAATGATAATCCTTCATATCCATTATTTTCATATTTGCCAGTGAGTGAATTTTACATTTACGCTGGTCAGACTAACATCGATAAATTTTATGTGTCCATTGTCGTGTCCTACATTGCGTCCACCGTCCACAATAGGTACCACACACGCTGCTACACCAGACCCAAGTGAGGGCACGACCGACGGATCATCGCCATCATCATCATCATCATCATCATCGGCGTCGTCGTCGTCGTCGTCGTCGTCGTCGTCGTCATCATCACCATCATCCACACGATCTTCGACCGAATCGACGAGAGGATCAACGGCATCCGGTGCGACCGGAACTAGTACACAAGAGTCTTCAGAAGCGTCTTCACCAGCGTCTCCACCGGCGTCTTCTCCAGCGTCTCCACCATCTACAACAGGCGCGGTAGGAACACCACCATAGTCTAGTACACCTTGTCATGACTCGTGAAGATCCGGATTAGAATTGATCTTCAGTAACCCATGCTTGTCGGAAGAGGCGATTATCGGGATCGGGTGGTCAGGCTCGCTGACCTGGTTGACACATGTCATCGTATCCAATTTGCGCAGATCGATGCTCATGCTGTTGATCACTGGATTGTCTTGTCCAGACTCGATTATTTACGTACTGCCACCATGTCGCTGGAATATTGCTGAGAGCGGCGTTAAACAAACAAACAACACCTTGTCGTGATTCTGACGATGGATAGTTTACAAGCCAAATGACTTTAAACCCATCTCACTCCAGCTTTTTAGAAATATTGGAGTTGCGACATTCTTAGAAATGAGGGATATGGCCATGTTATAAGCAGCGTCTGCATTTTGTGTCCTGATTGTAGTGAGTGACATGGGTTTTGACAGTATTGCATTTATATCCCGAGGTGCCTGCTTAATATGGGAAGAAAACCGGCAGACCCAACAGTCACGCATTCTATTAACTATGTGGCACGTGTGTGTGAGTGAATGAGTGAGTGAGTGAGTGAGTAAGAGGGTAAACAGATGAGTGACTGAGATTGTGTGTCTCTTTTAGGAATATTCCCAAATTATTCTGACGGGACACCAGAAATAGGCTTAGACATTTGTACCCATGTTGAGTCCTCGCCGTGACGATCGAACGCTTTAACACTTGAGCTACCCCTCTCGCCTCGAGATGTAACAGAGGACATCCAGAAGATATTGTAAGATAGGAAATCAAAGGGAACAGTTATGTACATTCACCTTTTGTTTCAGGCTGTCAAGACTGTTCCCAGCATGCTGTTCGGCTTCCTGTTCCTCGTGATCGCAAAGCTCCTGTAGGCGCGTCACGTGACCAGGACAACCAATCTCATTCATGTACATAAGACAACTCATTCTGTATGGCAACTTCCTGTATGTACTTCCTGTGACTGTAGGCCGTCGTCGACGATGTTGCTGGGCCTTTTGACTCTCCCACTGTGATGATGGGCCCCGTCATTGACACAGCTTGCTGCACATGAGAGGGCTGGCACTTCTCCTGCATTGTAAAGACTATAACTTGTTCTTAACACGCGTCTAGTGGCTTTCTGCTTACATAAATACGATACAATCGTGTGCTTTGTTGTGAAGAGCGTCTGTTGATATCAGGTTCTGATTGTGTATAAAGTCACAACTGAATGTTAGAATGAACCTAATGTACTGTTTCTTGGGTTATCGAGTGTTGAGGCCTCGTTGTAGTGGCGTATGCTACTCTGTAAGTCATGGGTGTGTTTCGAAAAGTCCTTTGTGCAGTTGTTGAATTTGTTAAACAATAAACATATGAATGTACAAATGTCCACACACTTGTGTTTATTGTGTGGAAACAACCGATGTTCCAGCAACTTCGTCCCGCTCGGGATCTAACCAGTCTTAACAGAACTGTCCTAATTTCTATCCAAACTGTCATGTATCTTGACAAGGTCCGCCTAGTTTCGGGTCGAATCCATTTTTCCTCCAAATTAGATCCTTGGTTGTCTGCGCCATGTTCGGGCGCACGTTGGGTTCAAAGAATGAGTCGAGGGTCCACGACTTGTGTAGTGTACCAGGCTGACAGCTGGTAATAGTATTACAAACAACAACAGAACTCACAAGTCACTCAAGTCACAGACGTTCACTCAGCGACGCTTTGCTCTGGATAACCAGTTCCTCCCACGACGGCAGCGTTCTGGGACCATTTGCACAGAGTAATCTTAGTTACAATCAATCTTAGGCCCCTACAATCAACTTTACAATCATACAATTACCTTTCTTCACTTGCACAACGCCATTTTGTCCCAGACTACAACGAAATTTGCTACTAAGACTGGTCCGGACCAATTGTAATTTTCTGTAGTAGCTTACAATGATATTAGCCTACAATCGCTTTGTGCAAGGTGATGGCGACTGTAGCCGAAGCCTAAGATCGCGGATTTGTAATAATTGTAGCGCTAAGATTGTTCTGTGTAAGTGGGCCCTGGACTCCCGAGGTTTCAGTCTACCAAGTGAGACGTGAACATATGATATATTTTACACTTATAGTAACTCCGAATGCAGTTTGCAATGGTCGTATTTTCATGACATATGTAACGACAAGCGGAATGACCAGAGGTCATAACCCAAAACTGACAGAAGCGCCCGTACAATATCACATAAATAGCTTTTGTATTATTTGGCATTTATACTACCACAACCAATAGATTTAAACAGATTTAAAGCTGGCAAATATCTAATTCACATAATAAAAGCCAAAAGGTACAAGTTTAATGCGTAAACCAGCATGTGGTGTCGTACAATGTCAAGCGACAGACTGTATGAAGAAGGAATAGCTTTTCCAGTGCTACAACTATAACCAGTGACACAGTCGACTTGCATTAAACACCACATACCAATACGTTTACTGTGCGGGAAGGCCGACCGGCGGGAATAAGAGACTGTCAGGTGAAAACTGTCTTGGAATAGTTTTATCAAAACATCTGATATTCATGCCTATCGCTGACCACACGTCCCCAGACGCACCCCCACAACATTCACACCCACACACACACACACACACACACACACACACACACACACACACACACACATATACATCTATACGCAAGCAAAGAAAAATCACAAACCACAACACATGAAAATGAAAACAAAACACACGAACAAGAAACAACTAAAAATGGTAAAATAATTTCAAGACCATGCCAGGTGGAATATATGGTCAAACGTAGTGCAACCAGAAGCATGATTAAAATTGTAACATTTCCAATCACTTTAAATGTTAATCTGCATCGGCACGGATTGGACGGTATTAAATCAATAAGATTATAGTCTGAGATCATAAAAATATAATGAATAGCCTTCCCTTTAATATCATTAATGACCTTAGCACTTTACGAAAAGGAAAGTTCTTCCATTTAGAAATGATTGCTATCGACAAAACAACAATACAGATGTGGATGTTCAACTGACTTGGCGAAATGTCATCAAGAAAAGTGGAGCAGTATTTTATGGATAGGAATTAACATTTCCACAAGGTACAAAACATCTGAAAAGTATCACAGTCTCTAAAAATCAATGCTTCGTTAAGGACGTAGACGTAGAGATCACACGTTAACGTTGCTGAATTTGAGGGACCAAAGTATTTGATCATCAGGATCCATACACTTAGCAAATACCCTATGTCCCCATACACTGTCACACATATCCTGGGTCCCCCGTGTACCTGATTCCCACACACTGTCACACATATTCTGGGTCCACCGTGTATCTGATGACCACACACACTGTCACACATATCCTGGGTCCCCCGTGTACCTGATGTCCACACACACTGTCACACATATTCTGGGTCCCCCGTGTACCACACACTGTCACACACACACTGTAACCCATATCCTGGGTCCACACACTGTAACACTGATCCTCCCCCTGACACACCTGTCACACATATCCTGGGTCCCCCGTGTACCTGATGTCCCCTCACACTGTCACACATATCCTTGGTCCCCCGTGTACCTGATGTCCCCACACACTGTCACACATACCCTGGGTCCCCCGTGTACCTGATGTCCCCTCACACTGCCACACATATCCTGGGTCCCTCGTGTACCTGTTGTCCCCACACACTGTCACACATATCCTGGGTCTCCCGTGTACCTGATGTATACACACTGTCACACATATTCTGGGTCCCCCGAGTATCTGATGTCCCCACACACTGTCACACATATCCTGGGTCCCCCGTGTACCTGATGTCCCCACACACTGTCACACATATCCTGGGTCCCTCGTGTACCTGATGTCCCCACACACTGTCACACATATCCTGGGTCTCCCCTGTACCTGATGTATACACACTGTCACACATATCCCGGGTCCCCCGAGTATCTGATGTCCCCACAGACTGTCATACATATCCTGGGTCCCGCCTGTACCTGATGTCCCCACACCTGGGTCACACATGTCACATGTATGTCACACATGGGTCCCCGTGTATCTGATGTCCCCACACTGTACACACATATCCTGGGTCCCCTGTGTATCTGATGTCCCCACATACTGTCACACATATCCTGGGTCCCCCGTGTACCTGATGTCCACACACACTGGCACACATATCCTGGGTCCCTCGTGTACCTGTTGTCAACACACACCGTCACACATATCCTGGGTCCCCCGAGTACCTGTTGTCCACACACACTGTCACACATATCCTGGGTCCCCGAGTACCTGATGTCCCCACACACTGTCACACATATCCTGGGTCCCTCGTGTACCTGTTGTCCCCACACACTGTCACACATATCCTGGGTCTCCCCTGTACCTGATGTATACACACTGTCACACATATTCTGGGTCCCCCGTGTACCTGATGTCCCCACACACTGTCACACATATCCTGGGTCCCCTGTGTATCTGATGTCCACATACTGTCACACATATCCTGGGTCCCCCGTGTACCTGATGTCCACACACACCGTCACACATATCCTGGGTCCCTCGTGTACCTGCTGTTCACATACACCATCACACATATCCTGGGCCCCCCGAGTACCTGTTGTCCCCACACACCGTCACACATATCCTGGGTCCCCGTGTACCTGTTGTCCACACACACTGTCACACATATCCTGGGTCCCCGAGTACCTGATGTCCCTACACACTGTCACACATATCCTGGGTCCCCCGAGTACCTGATGTCCCTACACACTGTCACACATATCCTGGGTCCCCCGAGTACCTGATGTCCCCACACACTGTCACACATATCCTGGGTCCCCCGAGTACCCGATGTCCACACACACTGTCACACATATCCCGGGTCCCCCGACTACCTGATGTCCCCACACACTTTCACACATATCCTGGGTCCCCCGTGTATCTGATGTCCACACACACTGTCACACATATCCTTGGTCCCCCGAGTACCTGATGTCCCCGCACACTGTCACACATACCCTGGGTCCCTCGTGTACCTGATGTCCCCACACACTTTCACACATATCCTGGGTCCCCCGTGTACCTGATGTCCCCACACACTGTCACACATATCCTTGGTCCCCCGTGTACCTGATGTCCCTACACGCTGTCACACATATACTAGGTCCCCCGTGTATCTGATGTCCCCACACGCTGTCACACATATCCTAGGTCCCCCGAGTACCTGATGTCCCCACCCACTGTCACACATATCCTGAGTCCACTTTGTACTGATATCCCCACACACTGTCACACATATCCTGGGTCCCCTGTGTACTTGATGTCCCCACACACTGTCACACATATCCTGGGTCCCCCGAGTACCTGACGCGCACCGCCACCTGGAGTGACGCGTATTGATCACTGACACAGTCGCTCCCCTCAGTCATACGTCCTCGGCGCTACGTGAATTGGGCGACACAAAATCGTGGAAGAGTAAGGAGGAAGAGTGAAGATTTCGGTGTCACGTAGTTTATAGCTGTGATAAGGAGCACTGACGATATATGTTTTGACAAGCGATTGAAGAAATCAGGTGAGTGTATTCTCATGACAGCTGTTAGGAACACCACGATACAATATCTGTATTGTCATGTAGGATTTATGTAATTATATAGATATTACTTACATTCTGCACAGGGCAGAAAATGTCACACCTGTGTTTAGCCAGTGTATGTATGACCTGTTTCTTTCTCATGAATGCAGCATATCTTAAATATTTGATTTATCACAAGTATTTTTCCTAGATATTTCATATGATTTATCACTTGGCGCGATATGTCCAGGATCTACTGAGAGTTTCATTTTCATGTTGATATACTATTTATCACATGTTACCCAATGCAATGCCCTAGACCTACGGAAAGTTTCATGTTGATATACTATTGATCACATGTTACCCAATGCAATGTCCTAGACCTACGGAAAGTTTCATGTTGATATGCTATTTATCACATGTTACCAAATGCAATGTCCTAGACCTACGGAAAGTTTCATGTTGAGATACTATTTATCACTTGTTACCCAATGCAATACCCTAGACCTACGGAAAGTTTCATGTTGATATACTATTGATCACATGTTGCCCAATGCAATACCCTAGACCTACGGAAAGTTTCATGTTGATATGCTATTTATCACATGTTACCAAATGCAATGTCCTAGACCTACGGAAAGTTTCATGTTGAGATACTATTTATCACTTGTTACCCAATGCAATACCCTAGACCTACGGAAAGTTTCATGTTGATATACTATTGATCACATGTTGCCCAATGCAATGTCATTGACCTACGGAAAGTGTCATGTTGATATACTATTTATCATTTGGTACACAATGCAATGCCCTAGACCTACGGAAAGTTTCATGTTGATATACTATTTATCACATGTTACCAAATGCAATGTCCTAGAACTACGGAAAGTTTCATGTTGATATACTATTTATCACTTGGAACACAATGCAATGTCCTAGACCTACGGAGAGACTAAAGGGAAATTTGGTTATAAGGTGGTACGTTATGTCATATCCTAGACTTTCGGTGAGTCTAACGGTAATTTGACTTATCATCTGGAACACAATGTCATGTGTTAGATCTACAAATATCATGTGACTTATCACCTGAAACACTTTGTGATGTCCTAGATGGAGAATCTAGTGTTTATAAGATGTATCCCCTAGTACACAAGGTCGTGTCGTGTGGCCTTTGGAAATGTGACAAGCCTTGGGGAAACTCCAGTGATGAAGAACCTGCAGATGTTTAACACCAAACGTAAAGATATGAGCATAACACTAGGGAGAAGCCTGGAACACCACGGAGATCCTGGACCACGGCCAACGTCTGTGAACTCGTATCGTCAGAACTTCTTATGATGAGAATCCGTCATATCATGATGGCCGAACGCCGAATGACTGACCGTCATGTTTCTAGTTCAGTAGGCATTACGCAGTAAATACCATGGCATAGAAATTCGGGCAGAGAAGGTGTCATCTCGTAGGGTTCCAAACCTGACGACATTTGATGAAAGACCCTGGATGAATTCCCGTGAGAATCCAGCTTGGTTTGAAGTTCTGGATGAAAACTGTATCCACGTCTTCCAGCCGGAGACGAAAGACTATCAAAACAGTTGGAACATCCCCACTGGCATACAAGTCACAGAATGTCCCATCAGTTGGAAAGGTCATGGCCTCCGTCCTCTGGGATGTCTATAGTCTCTTTCACAGTCCCTTAACCGCAACCCTTCTGCCCACGCCTCTCTGCAATGCTAAATCCCTAAATGAAGCAAGTCCAGATTTCCCCAGGTTCAAAATCTCCCTTCTCACTGAGACTTCTTTTCAATTTAAAAGGATTTTTTTGTTTCTATCAAAATTATATTCAGAGACTAAGTGTTAGTCTAGGGTGTCTTCCCCAAAGACCAACAGTAAATGGAACAGACCAGTGATTAAGACTAAAGCACGTCTGAAGCTGCTGAAATGTGCGATGTTCAATCAGTACAATGTGCAGGCACATATTAGTTGTTGCCCGGCTACAATCCACGAGTGTGGCTTCACCACTGTGCATTTCATTCTATGCGAGGCTCAGAACTTATCCGTCTACCCTTCAGTCCACATACCTCCACATAACGACAGTTGACATCTCTAAACATGCAGTAAGTGAAACGGATACTGGTAGTTAACGGTTACAATAGACAGTAGAATGATGATCATTTTATGGATATACAACCTCTGCGAAATTATCATTATTTTTCATCACCTTCTAAACTGCCCATCAAAGAAGACAATGGACAGTAGTTGAGGCTTCATGTACACACGATTGATGGCTAATATACTAAGTACTAATACTTATGTCTTTTCACTTTGTATGTGTGTCGATTTTTATGTAAGAGTATGTAACAACCTCACCCAAACTCAGTTTAGGCTTCAACTTTCTTTATTTTCTCAACGGCTCCACAACCTGATCTAGCTGTTAGTCTCGGCGACAGTGTCCGCCTGCCGCCATGCCGTGCATCATGTAACAACTAGGACAAATTGTACCAATCCCACACCTTTCCATATGTTCAATAACGAAGATTGTTTCAGTATTCACATAAACAATTCAAACTGGTGTAAATCATTGGAAACCGATAGAGTATTTGTAGTTTATGAAGTTGGCTGAATCGATACATTCCGTAAGGATTTCTTTTAAGTTTTGTAAAGAAATTCGATTAGGATAACAGGTAGCAACTACCGGATCGGTCTCAGGGCCAACTGTGCAGTGTTCTCAGCAAGTTGCATCAATAGCGCGCCCACCATAATCCAGTGTATTACGTCTCCTTTCATGTATTCATCATACAGATAGCCTACATTGTGTGATCGAGCATCCTCATAGGCCTATTTTATTGAGATTAATAATATAATGGACTTAACGCACCATATAATCGGGGATGATCTAAATTTGTAGCCACTTGAAAATAATTGATGATCATTAAATCAGAAATAACAAAGGAATAGACCTGCACGAGACTATCGAACATAATCACTCCTAACTGCGGAGAACTTCAGTGGTCTAAAGAAACAAATGTTCCAGTCGAAATTGAAATTAATTTAAATAGTATAATATTTATAAATAGAACAACTTTGTTTAATTACTGAAAAATGTCTGTTCTACTGTTAAAACTAGTCTCCTCAATGAGAGGAAACAGGGCAAGTTGTTTCCGCTGAATAAACACTTCTTTGGAATCATAGGACCGGGGTGGCCCAAGTCTTAAAATTATAGTGATATTAAGAGTTTGGATGGAAGGAAAATGCAAGTTAAAAATAAAACTGTTCCAGGAATAATACGGTCTATGTTCATTGTCAACAAAATAACAGAATAAACATTAAATTCATTCACCGGTGGAAGGTGTCTATTATCTATGCATTGCCGCTGAACCGAAGGCCCATTGACTTAGATGATATGGTTCCTCGTTGCTTGCAATATCGGTCACTAGATTGTCTGGTTCAAACTCAATTATTTACAGTCCGTCTTTGTATAGCAAGAATATTGTGGAGTGTTGCTTTAAACAAACATACAAACACAGACAAACAACATACAAACACATACAAACAAATATACACACACAGACAAACAAACATACAAACACAGACAAACAAACATACAAACACAGACAAACAAACATACAAACACAGACAAACATACACACACAGACAAACATACACACACAGACAAACAAACATACACACATACAGACACATACATAGTTAGTTGCCGCATTTAGACTGATGCAGACTGGATACGTTATGGCTGAATAATGCGACACTGTACTTAAAGGTTTCCACAGAATCACCAGCAGCTGTTTAACACAGTTTAACTACAAAGTCATGTTCGATACCAGCTGGCTGTGTGTTATATTTTCACCTTTATCTCTTAATTCGCCAAGGCGGATCATCCAATGGGCGATCCCGTTGAAACCTATCACAGTGACAAGTCGCCCATCACCTTCCAGAATAATCTGGAGCTATTGTACCAGATACATTGATTGTGGCTTTTTTCTACTTTATTAAACAAGTCAGTGATTTCAATCAGCCCAGCAGGCGAAAACAATACACAGTAGTGGAGCCCGGATGCTGCGGCAGTTAGAGGCAGATTGTCGTTACTGGAACACCTAGGGGGCGAGGATGGCCAGGTGGCGCAGCGAGGGGATGGGCTGAGATTACAATGACGTTTGTAGTCTTGTGACAATGCAACAGGCGCAGTAGACAACGACACAGCCGAATTTGTATAGTGTACCATATCTATGTATGGAGTTGCGTTCAGAGCGTATCAAAGATACCTGTTGTTTCTCTGAAACAGTCTAATCTAGCGTGCACTTGAGAATTGTACACAGTATGTGATGCCCATGAGCTGTACTTACGGTCTGTGATATGCCTACAATGTATCAAGTTGAAATGAGATGAGGTGCATGAAGCGAGGACAAATAATCTCTCTCTGTGCCTGTTCTCTGTGCGTGCATGTGTGTGTGCGTGCGTGCGTGCGCGCGCGTGTGTGTACGTTTTCAGTGTTCAAGCGTGTGGCTGCTTATAGTAGCCCGGACTGGTGCCATATTTATCATGTTAGCTGTCAGAGATGCTGTAGTTAAACACGAATACCCATGTCACACACAGAATACCGAACCCACTCTTCTTTCCTTCATTGTCTTCATGCCGAGCTCCAGGCAGTGTTTCAGAAACACATTAACTGCTATCTTTGATCTTTGGTGACGCGACCAGGATCGAACCAAAGACTACGCTTTCCAGTCAGACGCACTGTCCACTACACCACGGATTCAGTCGATTTTCACAGCTGGCGTTTCGATTTCAATGATTTTAATAATTCATGTGTAACTAAGGTCGTAAGGGCAGGTGGGCTCGCTGATGAGATACTGTCAGATAAACACTGACGCATCTACATTATGACATTGTTCGGATACATATACTATGCAAACCTTGCTAAGGATAACCTCTTTAAAAGAATATACCGTAACGTCTAATCATGTACATCTGGTGAAATAAGCAGA